ACTAAACTCGGTAAAAATTGAAAGGATAAAGAGGGATGAAGTTGTTACCTCTTAGAGCTCTTAAACCCTAGATGAAGGCAAGTCTTTCCACCACTATGTCACCAAGAAACTCCATAAGGTTGCTCCTTTCTTCTAACTAGAGTAAAATTCCAAATGATTTGTGGGTTGGAGGATGAAAAACAAGCAAGATGGGAGCAAGGATGGAATTTTTTCTCTTCCCCTTTTCTTTCCTTGGGTTTAGCCGAGAGGATGAGTGAGTGAGAGAGGGAAAGTGTTGTGAATCTTGTGGAGGAAGAATGAAGAAAAGGTAACTTTAGGTTGGTGCAAAAGTCAACTCTCAATAGTAGTGAAATAGTGCATTGTACTACCACTTTCTCTCTTGTTTGATACACTTATACACTAATCTTTCAAGGTAATTCCTCTAATACTGTAATTACTCATACTTACTAGTTTAGTATTAAATACTCAAATCTCCAATTAGTTGTACCGGCGTGACTTTTGAAAAACTTTCGACGCGTACGCGATAAAGCGAAATTTAAGGGAAATTCGCGCAATAATAGTATAATTAAATAACACTAGGGCAAATAATTATAAAAATGACTAAATTAAGAATAAAAACATGAGTTCTCACATCCTCTCCCCCTTAAAAAAATTTCGTACACGAAATTCATACCTTGATTTGGAAATAGATCTGGATATTTTTGTCGAATCCCCTTCTCTACTTCCCAAGTTGCTTCTTCTATTCCGTGATTCCTCCATAGAACTTTTACCAGAGGGATTCGCTTATTCCTTAGTTCCTTCACCTTACGATTCAGAAGCTTCACTGGTTTCTCCTCATAAGTCAGTGCCTCGTCGATCTCAATATTTTCTGATTACAGTACATGAGAGGGATCTGGATGATACTTTTTGAGTATAGATACGTGAAAAAAATTATGAATTCGAGATAAATTTGGTGGCAGTTCCAACTTATAGGCCACATTTCTCACATGTTGGAGAATCTTATAAGGTCTTACAAATTTAGGTTGTAACTTCCTCCCTTTCCCTGATATCAAACTTGCTTTTAGAGGAGTAATCTTAAGGAAAACTTGATCTCCAACCGCAAATTCTAAATTCTTTTTTCGATTATCTGCATAACTCTTTTGACGGCTCTGAGCTGTCTGAATTTTTTAGCGTATTAACTTCACCTTTTCATACGTCTTTTCAATTCATGGTACTGCAGTTGAATCTAAAATCTTTCTTTCACTTATTTCATCCCAACAAATCGAAGATCTACACTTCCGGCCATAAAGAGGTTCATATGGAACCATTTGAATGGATGAATGGAAACTATTATTATAAGCAAATTCCACCAATGTCAAGTATTTACTCCAATTCTCTCCAAAATCCAAAATACATGTTCTCAACATGTTCTCAAGAGTCTGAATTGTCCTCTCTGACTGTCTATCAGTCTGGGGGTGGTAGGTAGTGCTCAAATTCAATTTGGTTTCTAGCATTTCTTGCATCCTCTGCCAAAATCGAGAAACAAAGCGAGGGTCTCGATCGGACACAATACTTACTGGTATCTTATGTAGCCTATAATCTCATCCAAATATAACTTAGCTAACTTCTCCATAGAGTACTTCATACTAATCGGCAGAAAATGAGCAGATTTAGTTAGTTTATTCACTATTACCCAAATGGCATCATGCCCTCTCTGTGTCCTCGATAATCCAGATACAAAATCCTTGGTGGTATTTTTTCATTTTCATTTGAGTATCTCTAAAGGTTGTAATAGGTCAGACGGTTTTTTATGCTCGGCTTTAATCTGCTGGCAAATCAAACAAGTCTGGACAAACTAACCAATTTTCTTCTTCATGTTCTCCCACCAATACAAACTCTTCAAATCTTGGTACATTTTATTTCCTCTCGGATGTATCGTATATTTAGAACGATGAGCTTCCTCCAAAATTTTTCTTTAAAGCCCTCCATCTTTTGGCACTATTATTCGATTTCAAAACCTTAGTACACCATTTACTCTCAAATTAAAATCCGACTTTTTTTGCTTATTAACTTTCTCCAACCACTTTTGTGCTTCAAAATCCTTTCCTTGTGCCTCCTTGATATGATCTAACAAAGTAGATTTCATAATAATATTTCCAAGGATCACTTTTCTTGGTTCAAATCGAGGGTTCCAAATACTAACCTCTTCCAACAAGTGTAACTTTTTGATCATCAATCATGCTACTTGTACTTGACGACTTAAATCATCTGCTGCTACATTAGCTTCCCTGGATGATAATTAATCGTGCAATTATAATTCTCTAAAAACTCCACCCATCTGCATTGTTTCAAATTTAACTCTTTTTTTGAAAAACAAGGGGTCCGTTTGGATTTCTTGTTTTTGCCTCTCTTTTTGAAAAAATATTTTTCACATTCCAAATACTATAGTAAATGTGTATTTTCAAAACAGTTCCAAAAACACCATATCCAAACATTATATAAAAAACAACTCCATATGTATATTTCAATCATGTATATTATATATACATATATTATATTAATATAAATTGAAATTTACAAATTGAAATATATGTATTTATATATTATATATTATATAAATAATTATATACATTAATATTATACATAATATAATGTAATATACATAAATGTGTAAATATTTATACATAATATATTATGTACATTATATTATAATATATACATTGTTAATGTATAATATTATTATGTACATTAATGTGTATAAAAATATATAATAATGTTATATATAATATATAATATACATAATACGTAACAATGTATAAATGTATATTATGTAGAATATATTATATTATGTATATTATATTATATATATACAATATTATGTATATTATACAAATTGAAAATTATATATTATATATTTATAAATTATATATTTTATAAATATTTATATAATGAAATATACAATAAATATTACAAATTGAAATATTATATGAACACCATATTTATAATATTATAATATTTATAATTAATATTAATGTATATTATATATATTAAATATTTATATATTTATTTATACATATTATAAATATTTTATTTTATTTAAAAAATATTTTTATATATTTATAATATATTTATATAAATATTATATATTATATAAATTATATATAATATAATATATATTACATATTATATATATTATACATTTATATAAATGTACATTTATACATAATATATATATATATATATATATATATTAATGCATATTTGTAATATACATTTATATTATGTATTATATATAATATAATACATTTATAATACATTTATACATTTATATTAATATACATAATATTAATTTTACATTTATACATAATATTAATACACATTTATAATATATTAATTTATACATTTATATAATATTCATTTATAATTTATACATTTATAATAATATACACTTATACATTTATAAATATATTTATATTATGTATTATATATAATATAATAAATTTATAATGCATTTATATATTTTTATATAAATATTTAAATATATTTATTTATAAATATTTATAAATGTATTATAAATGCATAAATGTATATTTATATAAAAATATAGAAATTATAAATTATAAATTATGATTTATACATTTATATAATATTCATTTATAAAAATATAAATTTATAAATATATTTATATTATGTATTATTTATAATATAATACATTTATATATTTTTATATACATATATAAATATATTTATTTATAAATATTTATAAATGTATTATAAATGCATAAATGTATATAAATATATAAAAATTATAAATTATAAAAATACTCAAAAATATGTTTTAAAAATACCTTTAAAAATAATCGAAAAAACATCTACAGTAAAAGTTTTTCATATAATTTTTAAAAAACAACCCCAAAAATAACTAATCCAAATGGACTTGTATTTTAAAAATGAAATGCTACAGTGCTGTTTTTGAAAAATAACCTCAAAAGCAGCTAATCCAAACAGAGCCAAGTACTTAAGGCTCTTGTAATCGGTAAAAACCTCAAACGTCATCCCATATAGGTAATGTCTCCACTTCTTCAATGTAAATACTACAGCTGTTAATTCCAAATCATAAATTGGATAATTTCGCTCGTGAGGTTTTAACTTTCTAGAAGCATGTGCAATTATTTTATCATTCTGCATCAATACACATTCCAAACCTTCCTTTGAAGCATTTGTATAAACCACAAAACTATCCTTTTCATTAGCTAAGGCTAATATAGGTGCCCTTGTCAATCGTCCTTTTAACTGCTGAAAATTTTTTTCACACTTAGAATTTCATATAAACTTTTCACTTTTCTTAGTCAACTCAGTCAGGGGTCCCGCAGTTTTAGAAAAATCTTTAATAAATCTCGAATTTCAGTAGGGTATTCCGATTGTTTCCACTTAGAAACTGCTTCAACTTTGGTCGAATCTAGCTTAATTCCTTTCTTGGAGATTATATGACCTAAGAAAGTCATTTCTTTCAACCAAAATTCACATTTATTAAACTTAACATACAACTGATGTTCTCTCAAGGTTTCCAAAACAATCCTTAAATGTTTCTCATGATCCTCCAAAATTTTAGAATACATTAGTATATCGTCAATAAACACTACCACAAACTGATTCAGGTAAGGCGTAAAGATTCGGTGCATTAAATCCACTGCAGGAGCATTAATCAACTCAAATGGCATCACTACAAACTCAAAGTGCCCGTACCCCGAATTAAAGGCAGTCTTAGGTATATCTTTTTCCAAAATTCTCAACTGATAATAACCCTGCCTGAGATCCAATTTTGAGAACACTATCGCTCCTTGCAATTGGTCAAACAATTCATCAATATGGGGTAAAGGGCACTTATTCTTGATGGTAACGTCATTCAATTCTCAGTCGTCTATGCACAACCTTAAGTTACCATCTTTCTTTTTAACAAACAACACAGGAGTTCCCTACGGAGAATCACTTTTTCTTATAAAGCCTCACTCTAGAAGATCCTACAATTGCAATTTTAGCTCTTTCAATTCAGTTGGAGCCATTCTATATGACATCTTAGAGATAGGTGCTACTCCTAGAGTCACATCAATTTTAAAGGCTACCTCTCTTTCCGGCGGCAAAGATTCTAGTTCCTCAGGAAAAACATCTGGATACTCCTTAACTACTGGCATATTTTTCAACCTCACCTTGTCACTAGGACTATTTATAAGAAAAGCTAAATACCCTTGAACTCCCTTACTCAATATCTTTCTAACTCGAATTTCTGAAATAAGGGCAGAAGAGGCTAATCTACCCCTTACATCCAATTTTAAGGTTGCCTCTCTTGGAATACATAGTTCTACCATTTTTGTCTTACAATTTAACTGAATATAGTAACGAGCTAACCAATCCATTCCTAGAATGACATCATACCCCTTAATAGCTAAACCCGTCAGATCGGCCAACAATTTTCGTTCTCCAAACCATATCTCGCAATTTCTATACACCAAGTTAGCAATTAAGTTTTGATCTCCAGTAGGTGTTCTAACCTCCAAGTCATAAGATAAATTAATTGGTTTCACGTCTACTCCACTCATGAATTTAAGGTTTACAAAGGAGTGTATCGCACTAGGATCAATTAAAACCTTAGGTAAGCAGTGAAAAATAGGAATCGTACCTTCAACCACCTTAATGGAATCAGGAATCTGCTGATGGTCCAATGCGTAAACCCTAACCGGCACCTTAGGTCAATTCCCTCTGGCACTAGATTGCTTAGAGGTCGACTTCTCTGACTGTTGAGTACTACCTCTTTCTTTTGGTACACTTGGATATTTTGAGATCTAGTGTTCGGTACTGCCACAATACAGGCACTCCCCCAATTTCTTCCAACAATCATTTTCCGCATGGTTGGATTTACTATAGTAGCCACAACCAACTTGAGGAGTCACGGCCTGACTACCAGAAGGTATTTCTCTCGCTTGACCTTACTCATTACGGCCTCCTCTTGATAAAGTTCCTCTTGGTGCTCAAGCAGTTTTTACTCCTCCCGTTCCTCTTTCCGTCTTAGGAGGTGGGGTACTTTTACTTGTTTGTCTAGAAGGATAACTAGGAGTGCCCCTTTTCTTGGTATGAAAGTCTCTAATTTGTAACTTTGCGCTTTCGACTCTCTGCGCTTTCTCTAGGGTTTCAATAAACGTAGAGATTTGGTCTGCTACTAATCCCTCTTGAATCTCCACATTAAGTCCTTGTACAAAGCGCTTTATCTTTTTCCGTTCATTAGCCACCAATTCCGAAGCGTACTTAGAAAGTTTAGTAAATCGCTCCTCATAGTCAACTACACTAGAAGCCTCTTGCCTCAATTTTATGAATTCGTCCTCCCGTTTCTTTTGAATCAGAGGCGGAGAAACTTCTCATTAAATTCTTTTATAAAGTTTTTTCAGGTCCAAGGGGTCTGTGCTCTTTCCCTTTTTCCCCTTATTACATTCCACCAAGCACGTGCCGCACTCTCAAATTGAAAGGCAGCGAAGGTCATTCGCCTCTTCTCAGTATAATCTAAGACAACAAATATATTGGTCATTTTCACCAGCCAGTTCTCCGTTAACTCGGGATTAGGTCCTCCAATAAACTTAGGCGGAATAAATTTCAAAAACCTCTCCAAGGTTCTATCCTTCCCTCTTTCTTGAGTCCCGGATTGGTTAACAGGTCCTGGACCCTGTCGCTCTACTAACTGTTCTAAGATATCCGTCATACGGTTGATAGTAGTAGCTACTTAGTTATCCTCTTCGTTTACTTGTTATTGACTCAGTCCAGTAGCCGATCCTTGATTATCTCCTTGAATTTGGAGTTGCCTAACTCCATGTCCTCAGCCTCTACCACTTTTTCGGCCGTCCATGATTTTAATTATGTCTAAATACAAGAATAAAAATAATTACGTGAGAAAATACTTAAAAATAAAGGCCAACATGAAAAATATTTGAAATAACAATAACTGACATATATTAACATTTAAAGGTTCATATATAATCAGTAAGTCATGGAACATTTACAAAAATTAGCACACAGGTGCCACAAAAGTACAATCAATCACGCAATAAAAGTCAAGAACTTTACAAGTATCACCCCAACTAATCCCAACTACAAAAGACAAAAGATTCATCAATCCTAATCTAATTCGCAACCGAACTGGACCTCCTCCTCTGGGTCCTCCTCAAAAGGCTCTTCCTCAGGAGTGCTCGCATAAACTGAGCTCTCGACGGCGTCTATCACCTCCTCTATCAGTGTGGTAGTGTCAGCTAAATCCCAGTGGCCCGATCCCATATCTCCTTGATTACCCTAGTTAGTCGAGCTCTAGTCCTCTAAAACACATCACTAGCGGCCTCAGCTCTAGTCCACTCATCTATCACTGTCCCCTCGAGTTCTACGATCCTAGCACCTTGAAAATCCACCATAGCGTTCATCTCCTCAATCTCCTGAAGTAATGTCCTATTAGTAACCACTAACTGCAGGTGCTCATCATCAATGGACAGCACAAGATCATTAGGGTAGACATGTGTCTCCCTACAAGGACAACAAAGGATCCTAGAAAAAGGTGAGTATCGGATACGAGATCCTCCACCTAGTACTCAATATTGAATGGGCCTAAAAGACTCCACATGATCGTTAGCTGCTTCGTTACCATTAGCAGCATCACCTCTATTACCGTTTTTCATTCCTACAAAACAATCATAAAACTCAAGGTGAGAAATTAAGGTCACTAATTCACTCAAACATCAACTTAAGATATGAGTAAATTACCTCATTCTTATTCTCAAGAGTAAAGCCTCTAAAAGATTTCCCAAATAGATCTTTAAACCTAGGCTCTGATACCAACTATGACGATCCCATTTCTCCTTAGAAAAAATCCTAGGGTATCGACGGACCGCCTGTCTAACTCTTACCAGGGTTCAATACGAATCAAATTTAAATTTAAGGGTAAACAACCAATAATAAAAGTAGATACAAAGAAAGGTCATTTCCTTAAATAAACATTCAAATCTTACATTACAAGTTACTAAAAGGTACATCAACTTTCCCCAAAAATACAACTACCACAAGTCGACTAATCAATTATATCCAAAATTCTAATCAAAAGGTAATCAAGTCGGCTTCCTCAAAATCTTTTCATTCCAAACTCTTGTTAAGGAAAACAAACTACGGGGTGAGCTAACGCTCAGCGAGGCCAAGAAAAGCATGCAAACTAATAATTCAAGTAACAATAACACTTGTACAAGAAATATAGTTTGAAAGTTCAAGTAATTCACAATTAACAATAAAGCACACTCAATAAGGATACGGAAGCTCTCAAGAGTTAAATTTCTCTTACTTTGTCGAGGCTCGATCCAATACCTCCACGTGATGACACTCCGTCAACCGGGTAGGTATCAAGTCCGTAGAACTCCACTTACTTCTCCCATTCTTCATTTCACCCTCTCGGATCTGTAACCAAACACTCACTGAGAAGATAATACTACTCGAGTATGCCAAACAAGACCTCAAAAGATCAAACTTATAATTTTCTTATGGTTCACCAGGCTTCTCGACCAAATCCATGTCGACTCGAGTCGTAAGGTTAGCCAATGAGTTTTGGGCGTCCCCAGACATACAATTATAATGGCCAAGTTCACGCAATTCACTTTCACACAATTCAATTATAAATTCATGTAAAAGAGAACGAGTGCGATAAAGTACACACTCATCTCGACAATTCCAAATCACTCAATTAACAAGAAACAATTCAAATATTTAGCAACAATTCATGCACTTGACACTCACCAATTCAAAACAAGTGAGTAAGTAAAGCCCTTCAGTTGTCCATACTAGAATTCCTTTCGAAACCCTCATGAATACCTGAAGAAACAGTGGCCAACCATCACTCACATATACTCATGACCACTTAACATTTAAGGAAGAAAGTGCACTTGCTTAAAACTTAAGACAATGGCTTAAAAGAGCATTAATCCCTCGAAAATCAAGATTTAAAAATGAGAATTTAAAGTCACAAGTGAACTCGTATCATTCATGAAATTGAGTTTAAAATGAACCATCAATCTCAAAAGGAAATCGGAAGTTCATTAAAGTTCACTTCTTAGAAATCAGAAATTTTTCCAGCTTTACTCGACGACACTTGAGAAATCATAACTTGAGTTTGAAAGGTGCAAAAATGGAAAACTTTATACTGTTAGAAACTATATTCAAAGTACTAAAACTTCCTTAAAGACATTTTTCTAAGATTCCAACCAAAAACCATTCAAATTTCAGCTCAAATTTACAGTTTCATGAAGACAGGACAGAACTAGTCTTAGTTTTTCAGCAATATTTGGAAATTCGGTAAAATTCACAGGAAATGAACTGGCCTCTGAAATTTATAATACAACAAGAGCTTCAAGTTTCAGACACAACAAGTAGAACTAAATTTGGAGTTTTGAGCAACAAGATAAAATGGTTTGAAGTTGGCTGATTTTCGCAACCTATTTAGAAGATTTCCAGTCACTAAGCTTCAATACAGTTTTGAAATCAGACCATATCTAACTCTACACAAGTCTAAATTGAGAATGGTTTATGACGTTATAAATTAGATTCAAAATTCTATAATTTATCAGAAGAAATCGTTTCCATACTCCTTTCACAAAAGGGACAAAATCAAGGCACAAGATGTAGCTTCCCAATTTCTTTCGGACAAACAGATAAAACAGGTCAATCCATTTTGCCGATTCACTACAGTTTCCTCAAAACGAATTACCAGGGAAATTTTATACTTTTGAAAATCTCTTGATGTCTAGTTTCGAATGCCGCAAATGGCACTCAATTTTTGACTTTTTTTACAAAGAGTTATGTTCAGACAAAGAACCAATGGTCGGCTAGCCTGATAGCAAATTTCCAGATTTCTTCCTTTTCAAAAACCCTAGTTTTGTATAACCAATTGAAATGATTTTTGAAAGGCAATTTTCACACACACAATACCGCATATATCAATCAGTTTAGCAGCCAAATAATCAACAAAAATTGAAAATCCAAGCAAGGCAACAAAACAGAAATTTCGGCCAGCTCTCTCTCATGGTTTTCTTCCAATTTCTCTCCACTATCAAGCCAATATCAAGCTATAATTCACATAAACAATAATAATCAAGCAATAACCTCAAGTCCGCTACCTCATAGGTCACCTCAAGACCACTAGCTTAGGATATCAAGCAAGATAAAAGTTTCCTCAAGCCCACTAGTCTAGAATCTTGATTAGGGTTTCAAACCCATGAAATCCAACCACTAAACTTGGTAAAAATTGAAAGGATAAAGAGGGATGAAGTTGTTACCTCTTAGAGCTCTTAAACCCTAGATGAAGGCAAGTATGTCCACCACTAGTTCACCAAGAAACTCTGTAAGGTTGCTCCTTTCTTCTAGCTAGAGTGAAATTTCAAATGATTTGTGGGTTGGAGGATGAAAAACAAGCAAGATGGGAGCAAGGATGAAATTTTTTCTCTTCCCCTTTTCTTTCCTTGGGTTCGGCCGAGAGGATGAGTGAGTGAGGGAGGGAAAGTTTTGTGAATCTTTTGGAGGAAGAATG